GAGCACACCGGGGAGGTGGGCTGGTCTCGCTGCGCGGCCCCCGCCGCCCGGGAAGGCGGCGGGGCCCGGGTGGTGCGAGGCCCCCCGGCCGGAGAGGGGGAGCAGCGGAGCGAGCGCTCCCCGCCCGGACCCTCCCGGGAGTGCGGGGGGATCCGGAGGGGTCGTGAAGCCGCGGGGTCTGAAGGGGCCGAGAGGGCTGAGCCGCTGCGGCGTGGCATCTCCCGGTGCATCCTGCCGTGCCTCGATAGCTCCGGGCCGGGGGACTGGGGAAATGCCCTCGTTCTGAGGTTGTCCCCGGTCGCCTCCGGCGGTTCCCGCTCACCCGCGAGAGGGTGTCTGTAATTGCCCCCGGGGGGGCCCTCATGCCCCGGGGCACTGGAGGGAATTAGGGAAGAGAGAGTGGGCGCGTCCTGTGCCCCAAGGCCAGGCCCGCTGACATCGGCGTGGGCTCCGGTTGCCCCCGGGATGCGGCCACCGAAGGCAGCACCCGCAGGTCTGGAGCTCGAAGGGGCAGCAGTGGGGAGCCTCGCGCAGCGAGCTTTGCAATGACGCTTGGTGATCGGCTGTCGGGCTTTCAACAGCCCTAAGGGATGGGCTGCCAACTGCTCACCCGTCAGCCCTCAATTATTTTGTAAGTTTCCTAGGCATTGCTTCGCCCTCTCCTGAAATGCTGCAGCTGTCCATTACTGCCCAGCATTTCAGAGCAGGAAGCGCAGGACAGTCCTGAGAGCACGGTGACAAGGGGAGCACACAGAGGGAGGATGCTGTGATCCCTGCTGGAATTTGGCTGGGACACTGTCTGAAAATGCTGCGTCCTTTGTGGGTGATGGTTTGTTTGTGGCAAGATGCTCTTAACAGCATCACTGCTTTGGGCTCAGTGGGTGATTTTGTCTGGTCCACATGTGTCGAGCCATTAAAAGTGTCCCTAGCATCTTGTCCTGCAATGGATGTATGTGTGGAGGTGACTTCTCTCCAAATCTGGAAAGTCTTCCACATAGCTGCGGACCCAACGCAACCTTCTCTCACTTCACAGTGGGGCTGAGAGCAGCACGGCCTCTGCTCATCACACCCACGCAACTGGATGGAGCCTGCTCCATGCCACGCTCCTCACGGGATGGCTTAACCCCTCCCATCTCATTATAGTAATATCCTTATGATATCACCCTAGAATTTCCTGCCCTAAACAACCCCAGAAGGCTGGGAGGGATTGAAGTGTTTTTTGAAGAGTGTTTAATGCTACTTTACAAGGGCAGGAGGTGGTCAGAAAATCAGGGCTCACAGGTCTCTCTGTGGGGTGGCAGAAGGAAAGGGCTGCACCCAGCTAGTGAGCTGCTCAGGGCTTCAACCCTGGGGCCTATTGCTTCACCCCCTTCCTTACCAATGCTATTTTCCCTGGTGCTACTTACTGCCCTCTCACCACCAAATCCACCCCATTCCCCTCCCTCATAATTGAGCCAGACGGAGCTTCACATCTTAGCCACCAGCTTACGAGGTTTGCTTGCTGCAGGCAGTGAGCCTTTGAAAAGCAGCCCATGTGCTGTGAGCATAGGATAGATGCAGTGCAGGAACCTCACACCTTACTTAACACAGAGCTCAGGTCCCCTGATGCAGGGAGGGAAGGGGAAGGTCCCCTTCGCAGCGCTAGTGTTCATAGAGCCTTGAACAGAGCAGTGTAGCAGCCTCAGCTGCTGTGCACTCAGCACTGAGTGTATTTGTTTGGCCTCCCATATGCACGTGTCAGAAGGCTTTTAGGTTCTTAGTGCTCCAACGTTGCATTAGAGGAAGGAGTGTAGAAGGACAGATAGGTGTGTGGTGAGAAGCCCATACAAAACCAGATGTTTCAGCTCAGAACTCCCAGGCAGTGGAGAGGAAGGGACATGTGAAGTGATGCTGCAGTGTGAGCCAGAGGCCTTTCCTCAGCCAGCTCTTTTTGCCTATGTAGGTGTTCATCTCGGTGGGGCCACACTGACCATGCTCAGGAGCTTCTGTCTCCAGCTCATGTCCTTGCTTTGGATCCTCTTAGCCCATCACCAGCTTGCCCAAGGTGAGTCTCTGGGTCCTGCTCTTCTCTGTCCACCTTTCTAAATCCATTCCTGGCATGGACAAATCTCCTCAGCTCATTGTGCAAAATAGAGCTGGCCGAACATGGAAAACCAGACAATGCTGCTTCATCATCCATCACGTGGGAGGCAACTAATGGTGACCATAAGGCCCTGTTGTGGTGGCAGCTGGGTGGCAGTGCATGAGCAGGTGGGAGGTCCCAGTGCCCCACATCTCACTGTGATGGGCCCTCTGGGAGAGGTAGGGTGAGAGGAGGAGAAGATCCTGACCCCAAATGGCTAATCCTGGATCCCGTGAGGCAAAATCCTGAAGATTATCTTGCCCTACCCCCGCTCCGGATAAGTGCTGAATTCCCAAAGCCATCTGCCAGGAGAGGTGCTCACAGGCAGGAGGGACAGTGATACCCAAGCCTGGACCGAGCAGATCCAGCACCACTGCCCTGGTTGGATTTGGGAGGCTCCTGCCTCACAGATGGAGGTTTGGGAGGCTCATGCCTCATGGATGAAGGAGCCTGATCAGGGCAGGCAGTCACTTGCTGGCCTGGGTGCACATTGGGTTCCTGTAGAAAGCGCTGAGCAGGTGACGGGACAGAGGGGGAGGTTGGGATGAAAGCAGACAAGGAGCTGGAGAAAGCAGGCTGACGTGGATCGTGAGTGAGATGTGGCATGGCAAGGCCATGGCTCAGTTACAGCCTCTTTATGGTGGCCTTTAAATAAATAAGCAGAACTGGATACCTGCTCCTCAAGGTGAAGGGGTGTGCTCGGGCCCTGGCTGCAGTCTGCTGCACGCAAACAGTTTTTCTCAGGAATGGGAACATCCCAGAGACACAAAGGACCCGTTCTCACTACTTCTGCCTTTGGTGACTTTGTGCCCTGTGTGTACCTGAGCCTTCCCGCCCCAGTGGTCCAGGTGCTGTAGCACAGGCCATAGGGTCCCATTTTTGAGTTACCTGCAAGCCAGCAGAGCCAGAGCAGACCTGGGGTCACCCATGATCCCTGCTTAACCTCAGCCCCCTGTCCCTGCCTTGCAGGTGATGACTGCAGTGAGCACTGCAACCTGGCCCATGGCAGCTGCGACCAGGATGGGAAGTGCAGGTACGTTCATCTCCCTCGATGCATTTATCTTTTTAGTTTTTAGGCTTTCTCTTTTGGGAAAGGAAAGCCGCTCACACCTTATCTTCTGCACCACAGCCTGTGATACCCAAGGGAAGGGATGCTTGCTGCCCACGCTCAGGTTTATCCTGAGGTTTATCTTCATGCTGTTTTGTTTATAGCTTTTGCAGTATCTGGTGCCACCTCCGCTCAGCCCTGCTTCCATAGAGATGCCCTCTTTTCTTAGCACTTGCTGAGAGCTGATAGGATGAGGGAAGGCTACTGGGACACCATAGCTTTGCTTGTTGGTGGCTGTGGCCACCACACCGCTCCTCTGGGGCAGAAGACTCGTTGTATCCTGTAGGGCTCTGTTTTCTCACCATGCTGCACCCATAAGCCTGTAGAGTTGCGGAGTTGTAGAATATCCCAAGTTGGAAAGGACCCATAAGGATCACTGAGACCAACTCCTGGCTCCATCTAGGACCATTCGAAATTCAGTTCACTTCCAAGAGTGCCATGACCATTGCCCTGGGTAGCCTGTTCAAGGGCCCGACCACCTTCCGGTGATTAACGTTTTCCTAACACCCAACCTGACCTTCCCCTGTAGCTCAGTGCTTTCAACACGCTGGCCACATCATGTGAGAACTTGCATAGTGACCACCCACTCCAGTACAGGACCTCTCGTCCCATCCCCTGAGGCTTCTGGTGTTACGGATGGGGCTTCTCTCTGCCTGTCTGGCTGTGTGGTGGGAGATACACAGGGCTTGTTCAGTAGGTGCAGAAAAGCTGGGTGTCACAACGCTGCCCTGTCCCCTCAGGTGCGACCCAGGCTGGGAGGGCGAGTACTGCGAGGAGTGTGTGCGCATGCCGGGCTGCCTCCACGGGACCTGCCACCAGCCCTGGCAGTGCATCTGTCACAGCGGCTGGGCCGGCAAGTTCTGCGACAAGGGTGAGTCCCTGGCTGTGCGGATGGCTGGCTCTGCAAGGGACAGTGGAGCATCATCCAATCTCATTCCCATGCTGTGCTTCAGGGTGCTGTGGCTAAAGTCCTGCAGTGATAGGAGGGATGGCACAGCCAGAAGCCACGTGTGGGATGCCAGCCTGGGCTGCTTTGGCTGTCCCCAATTGCATGCTGGGAGCAGCATAGCACTGTATCCAAGTGCTGTTATCTGGCCTGACAGTGCAGCTCCCCTATGCCACCACCATGGTGAGCTCCTGCTGGCTGGCACGCACAGCACTGGCACATCACGCAGGCCAACAAGGGGTCTTCTTGCCACCTCCAGGCCTGGCTTGCTAGTGCCTGATGAAAGGAAGGAGGGAGAAGGTGTGGCCACTTTCCCATCCCCACTGGGTCTGGCAGAGTTTGGGAACTGAAGTGACTGCATTAACTCTCATTTCTCACTCACTCCACCTTTTCTTTCCCCCCTCAGACGTCCACATCTGCGAACATCAGTCCCCATGCCAGAATGGGGCTCAGTGCATCTATGACCGAGATGGGGACTACTCCTGTCTGTGTCCAGAGGGCTTCCATGGGAAGGACTGTGAGATGAAGGCAGGGCCATGTGAGAAGGCAGGGTAAGGCACAGCATTGTGATGACAGACAGCACTAGTTGCAGCTCAGCTTGGCTCGTTGTCTCTAGATTTCCATGCACTAATGGAGTTAAGCCAAAGCCATCTTTGGCTTTAGTTTAACTTGGCATGCTGTAGTCCTGCTAGGGTTGTGATCTGAGCAGGTTCCCATCCCTTGTCAAAGTGGACGCAATGAGCTGACACCAGTTGTGCCTTAAGGAGCACCAGGAGGACCTGCATCTTCCTCAGATCCTTGGCTTGCGGCCTCTTCCCATTGAGCAGTTGCCCTGTGCCTTGGGGACATCCCAATCTTGTCACTATAGAGGCAGAAGCTTTACTGCATCCTCCTTTACCGCATCCATCCACCTGCCCTGTGGCTTGGCAGCCAGCTCCAGTAGCGAGTTTCCATCCCCATGGCAGGGGGAGTCGCTTGTTTTCCAGGGCCATGACCTCTCTCCTCTCTCCTTGCAGGTCTCCATGCAAGAATGGGGGGCAGTGTCAAGACGAAAATGGCTTTGCCAGCAACTTCACCTGCCGGTGCCTCGCTGGCTTTGTGGGGGCTCTCTGTGAGCACGACGTGGATGACTGCCTGATGCGGCCCTGCGCCAACGGTGCCACCTGCCATGATGGCATCAACCGCTTCTCCTGCCAATGCCAGGTGGGCTTCGAGGGGCGTTTCTGCACCATCAACATCAACGACTGTGCCAGCCAGCCCTGCAAAAATGGGGCCAAGTGCTACGACCGCATCAATGACTATGACTGCTTGTGTCCGGACCGTTTCACTGGCAAAACTTGTGAGATCTCCATCCCTGAGCCCACCTGGGCTCCCCCCTACCATCCTTTGAACCACGAGAGCGGCTGGGCGATTAGGAGCACCACCAGCGAGATGCCTGAGGTGACACAGCCAGAGCCCATGAGGAGTGCAGTTACGGGGCGGCGCGTGGCCAACCACAGTGAGAAAGTGCCGGGAGGAGGGTTGTTAAAAATCTCTGTGAAAGAGGTGGTGACCCAAAGGGACTCAGGGCTGAGCGAAGCCCAGCTGGTGACAGTGCTGGTGTTTGGGGTGCTGACGGCAGTGCTGGTCCTCATCACTATCCTGCTCATCCTGAGGAACTGGCAGAGGGGCCGACAGCGGTCGAACTGGTGCCAAAGCCCTTCGCAGGCTGCCAGGAAGCTCCAAGATCAGGAGTGCCAGGTGGGCATGTTAAACTCGGTCCTGATCGAGCCCAGGAAAACAACAGAGCTCTGAGCACTCTGAGCCGGGCCCCTGCAGGTCATCATGCTGGCAGACCCCTCGAACTGCACCCCAGGCAGCTGTTCTGGTGCAAATTGGGCAGTAGGGAAAGGCTCCTCGGGCAGTGAGCACATCAACAAAACCCCATGGTGCTGAGCTCGGTGCAATGGGCCCAAGCCATCTCCACCCGGCCAGCGCCTGTGTGAGTGAAGGTAGGGCTGCATGGGGCCAGCCCTGCAAGGGAGCAGCATTGGTACCGCTCCAGTGTGAGCACTTGGAAATGGACTGGGACTGCTGGAGTGCTGTCTCACAAGTGTCTTCTGCTAGGTCCTCTACAACTCATCTCTGTGACTGGAACAGGGTCTCCCAGCTCTTTCTGGAGGCTGTAGTTTCAGATGCCGTGTTCCAAGGGCACAAGCAGATGTGGCCTTGTGGCCACGCAAGCCAGTTTGGAAACACTGCAGAGACTGTTTAGGGTCTCCTGCCCGTTTTTCTGCCCTATGTGATGCTCCTTCCTCTTGCCATCAGACTTGGTATTACAGACATGTTCTGTACCTTTCTCCTGATGATCCGTGGTGTTTCCTCTCCCCTCTTATGGAGCCGTCCTTTCTGGTATGGACACAGACAGCAAAGCTCCTTCCCCAACCCAATGTGCACTTCTGCTTTACTGTTTGCTGATGGGGAAGCACATGGCCTCTTCCTTGTGGGGCATCCCAGGCCTGAGCTGGTCCTTCTCATGTCCTCACAGGTGAAACTGGAGCTGGCTAAGACTGGAGATGTGCTGCAACTGGCTCAGGAGCAATACAGGATCCAGATCCTCATTTCCCCTGCCAGTCCCTCCAAAGCACCCTGCTGGCATTAACCTCAAACCAGCCATTGCAGAGTTTCTTGATAGTAACCAAGCTAAACTCCCTGCAGTGGATGTGTGGACAGGATACGGAGCCAATGATGACTGTAGGAAGCAGATACAGCACTGCATTCTCCTTGCTAAAGCAAGGCTGAGAGGCACTTAGCCTTGGTACCAGCTCTGCTCTGCCTTTTCTGGTCTGGTGTACAGCAAGCAGGGCCTCCCTGCCACAGTCAGGATTTTCTGCGCCTCCTCATAGGAATGAGGGGTCAAACAGTGGAAATCTTAAAAAATAAACAACAAAACAACCCCTACTACTGGCCTGTAGGGTCACAGAACAGGGTTTGAGGTCATGTAGAAAGAGAGCGGCCAGGGGATTAAACACTCAGCCAGGAGAGAGACCTGGGAGAGGGGTCTGGGGCTTCATCAAAAAGATTATTTTTTTAATACATGAATGGATAACGTACCTTTATCAAATAAAACAATTACAAGCCCAGAAACTGTATTAGAGAATGATAAAATAATTTAGGTTGAAGGCATTTCTGTACATCAACCTCCTGCTCTCAGCAGATTCAATTACATCATGTTGCTCAGCTACTTGTCCTGTCCAGTTGTATCTGTATTTTCATCACTGCCTTCAAAAGTGCAAAACCAGACTGCGGCACGTGGATTGTTCTACCCCATGTTCTGGCCCAAAGTCATCATAAACCTTTTGTTGCCTGGAAGCCCTTAACTTTGCTGCCTTGGCATTGTCCTGCTGGGAGAAGTTCAGAGAGCTCAGGGCCTTCTTGATCTTAACATCTCAAAATATCAGAGGCTGCTTAGCTTGAGGCCAGCCTTACCAGTCACTGAGCAAAGAGAGACATAACTGCAGTGGGTAGAGACCTGCCTCAGGACAAGGTTATATCTGCAAGGCACTGACTCAGAGTGCTGGAGAGCAAGGAAAAGACAAGACTAAGTGCAAGGGCAAGATAGGAAGAATAAGCTGATTCTCTAATTGAAAGAAGCCATGTGTTTGTGCAGCTGGGAGCAGGGGAGAAGTCAAGGAGAGTTTCCCTAGGAAAAATGGTGTTGGAATAAACTAGCCTTAAGGGGCCTTTAATGTCATTGCATTCTGGCCTTTCGGAAGGAAGGGTCTCCACTGCAAGCCAGAGAAAGAGCAGTAAGATCCCTGGTTGCAAACTTCTGGGGTATCTGAAGAGGTCAAAGTTCCCTGGCTGTTCTAGGAAGAAGGAAGGGTTATGTTAGTGCAGAGGGTACCACTTCTGCAGCTCACAAGCAAGTCTATGTCTGGAGGGCAAAGGGGAAAGGAACCCAAATAACACAACTTCACAAGAATGTTTCCATTTTATTCTAAATTGCATACATGAGACTGAGCCTCAGATTAGGAGTCACTGATTCTTCAGTGAGGAGTAAAGCCCTCTGTAATCTCAAAGGGAAGCTTTGGAGGGCAACAGTGCCCCACCAGCCAGGCTCACATGGCCCTAAGCACCAGTTCACTTTTCCCTACTATAAGAAAGGCCATGCTTCCATTCCTGAGACACACAGTCATTGTCAGCAGGAGGCAATGACCCCTCCTCTCATTTCAGCAGCTCCTGGCCCTGCAGGGATGGAGCTGGCAGCTGAGGCAAGAGGAAAGGCAGACACAGACCCAGAAGGACTGCCTGACCTCAGCCCCAGAAGGAGGTCACTGCTGCCCACTGTGCAGCAGGCGCTGAAACAAGGATCCGTCCTTTTTGCTTAGGCAGGCAGGTGAGTCCAGCTCCACCACTCTTCCAGCCTGCATCACTAACACACGGTCTGAGTCCAAGATGGTGTTCAGCCTGTGGACAGCAGACACCAGGACACATTAGTGGAGCTGAAGAGGAAGAACTCCACGCACTGCTTTACCTGCTGTCAAGAACAGGCCCAAGACATGCCCAGCACTAATATTCACAGAGCCTCTCCTTATGCACTCAGGGGCACGCTACAGTCCAGTTCACCAGGCAACTTCTGTCCACCACTGAAATACAAGATGTTTCCATCCTCACAGCAGAGTTATTGAGTTGCTTCTGTTTGCCCATCCAATTAATGGCTCACTCAAAACTGAATGGTGTGGAACAACCACAGGTACAGAATCCCATCATTATTTCCTCCCTCCTTAGTGCTCTACCCTATCTCAGTTCCAGCAGAAAAGAGGCTGGGGCCATTTCCAACCCAGTCTTGCTTTACCTTCTGTCACTCCCTCCTCTGCTGGTTCTCCTCAGTAATTGCTCTTTCAAAGAGATCTTGACCACACCCCAAACACACACCTCAGCCCACAGTGTGCTTACTTTTCTATTCTAGCTCTGCATTATCTCCCTAGCATTCAAATCCTATTCCCATCTCCTACCCTCTTATCTAATCCACTTAACAAGACCCACTCAATTCCCTTGCAAGGTCTGGCCCACCCTGCCTGTTATCCACCACTCCCACTTGACAACATCCCCTGTCACCTGCTTGCCTGATTTTTATTTTTGTGGTAAACCCGGTGCTGGGAAGCAGTTCCCTTTAAAACACCCTACATACTACTGCATGACCTTCCTCCAAATTCTCTTCCATTTGGCATCAGTGGGAGCATTCAGGGCAGAGACCACTGCTTACCCATCCCTTCTCAGTATCCACAGCATTTGCGTTTTGCACTCCTCTGTCACTGCTTTGACTCTTACATTAGCTCTCTTGGCTGTGGAGCAAGCACTGCTGCTGTGTACTGTCTGGGGAATGTCTAGCCTGTCAGGGTCAGATGCAGGCTGGAACCAACACTCGGAGGACTGGAAAACAGAATTACCAAGTGCTCTACCTCCCCTGGCCAGAAGCTGCCTGCAGCCCTTCACCTTTGGTTGTCCTGCAGTGCCCTCTACTGAGCCAGAGCCACCTGCTTCACTCATATGTCCAACTGCTGTTTTTGTGTAGGGTATTTCCCCACTGCTCCTTGCCCCATTAGCCAGAACCACACGCCTAGTTCACCCCCTGGTCCCAGCAGGCAATGCCCAAGGGAGCCATCAGCCATACAGTATTTCCCTCTGCTGTCACCCAGTTTCTAGGTACAGCATTTTAACCGCCTTGTTCTGCTCAACCTTCAGGCATGGCAGGCACAGCCACTGCTTCCTCTGAGGGCATAACACTGCGTCAAAAAGTACTGGACACATGGAGCGATGATTTCTCCGTACCTGTGAGCAATTGTCAAAACAGTTTTGTCAGCAAAGCGCTGGCGGATGGTTTGCTGCAGCAGCTGGTCTGTCTTCTGATCCACACTGGCTGTGGCCTCATCAATGCACAACACCTGCCAGGGACAGAGTGAAGGAGACACCCAAACATCACTGAGGAAACCCCAGTCTATGTCAAGGGATAGCGTGACAAGGTAGCACAGGTCATCCATCACCACCACACCCCACTCCTGGAGCACCCTGCCCTGTTGTGCCAACACAGCCATCAGCAACTCACTCCTTGCTTTGATGGAGGCAGGCACTCACCTTGGCCTGTGTCAGGAGGGCTCTTGCCAGACACACCAGCTGCCTCTGACCCACAGATAGACTCTTTCCTCTCTCTCCCAGCTCACTGTCCAATCCACCTGCAGAGGTCAAGCTGAGCAGTTATCACACCACGCTCTGTGTAGACAGCTCTCCCAGTCTTTTTTTTTTTTTTTTTTCCCCCCAGCAGCACTCAAAATTCCAATCCCAATCAGTCCCAAGCCTTTGAAATCAAAGCCTTTCTGCTTGGATGCAAGCAACATCTACCAGAGACATGAAATGTGCTGCTAGAACCAGGGCTATGGCATCTCTCTGAGGCTCTGCCTGAGCATCCACTGGTGCCTAGGCTGATCAGCAAGATTCTGCCATCCAATCCACCACCTGACTGTTTCTTGATACTAAATCTCTGGGAATGTCACTGGGATCTCACTGGCCTTTTCTCACTGGTGCTAGTGGGGCCCTCATCTAACCAATTCCCTACCACATCTACCTGATCCCTTTTCATCAGCTTTCTGACTGGAAGCTTTCTTTCCTCTCCCAGTAGCAGGGCCCACCAATCTCTCCACACTGGCTCCAGACTCACCTATCTGGGTAACAGCATCCCGCAGGTGGCACTGCTCTAGCACTTCATGGAGTTCAGCATCTGTCCATTTTCCCTGAGGGTCCAAATTCTCTCGGAT